TAGAGACAACGTGGACGGCCCCTCTCTTATTCTCTTCAATGTTGAATGGCGGATCCGGAGTTTGAGTGGGGTCTTGTGTTCAACGCCGACGGGAGCATCAACATTCTACGTTCACCTTGTTTTGACGTAGGATTTGAAGACGAGACAACCGTGGAAGAGTACTTGGAGCGAGTCGTGTCAATCCTCGCAAGCATCTACGACCGAAAGTTTTCAAAGCACGCTTGGAGCCTCGACGGTCGTCTACGACTTCCATCCCAACCGGCAACTTTTCCTCCGACGAAGTTCTTCGGCGCCCTCTCCCTAGTGGTAACTTCGTTCATCTCTTGGATCTTCTATCTCCGCCAAAAGTCCACTACCTCTTGAGTGATACGGCCCCAAGGTGAATTCTTCATTGCTAAACGTTGGGTTTTATTGTTGTACTTTGCATATTAAATTCACCTAGAACTTTGAAAGAATCGTTTTGGTTAATCTTGTTTGCAACTCTTTCGCCTAAGCAAAGTTAACGTTTCGACATCTTAACTCAATCTTGCATGATCCCATAAAATTATAAAAGCAAACTTTAACAATTCTCTTTTTAATTTTGAACGTAACTCCGAGTAGTTTCACATCAGGTAAACAATGATCAAAGAAGTTATATACAATTGGGCCAGCAACCATAAGCCATTACATGGGCAACCCCACATTGGTTTATCAGATCATTTGGTTGGTTGTTGCGGAATCCGCAAACATACCAGAAGTCTGGATGAAAAAAATAATAAAAGGTAACATAACAGGATACAAAGAGACCACAGGCTTTAAGACTGTCAGTACAATACATCATCAACAAGGAAAAAGTCATCAAACTAACTGCCTTAAACAGCAGGTTACCCCCTATCTTATTGCATGGGGAAAAACCCTATCCTCTTTCCTTTGATAATTATCTCTTATAGTAAATAGAAAAAAAAAATCATATCACTAGTATATCGAATGGGTCAATCAGTAATTGCAAGTTTATATTCACATAACTATAAATAAGAAAAACTTGCGAGTTAAAAGGATGACGATTAAAAATAAAATTGAATTACTCCAATTTCAGCTCTCCCTTCAATATCCGGTCAGAGAATCTCTCATGAATTGAGTTTCTCATTTCTCTCTAAAATTAAATCCTAAAGAGTCTACTCGGCTCACTCTCTTGCTTCTCAGACAGCCCAATGAAAAGAACAGCAAGTATAGAGGATCAAGTGCAAGCAAGGAAGTCTACTTCAGAAGTTCATTTATTCTTCCACCTTTATGTATCCAAGCGGTCCTAATGCATGTTTTCCCCACGTTCATCATCACTTGAACCAAAGTAAACATACTATCATGCTCCATCTAACCTAAACCCTTAGAAATCCTACGTATTTTTTAACTTGAATAAAACTTTACATAAAACCCAATAATAACTGAAACCTTAGTTCCAAGCTCAAAAGAGGTTGATGTCAACGTTGTTGAATTTTGGATCATGTGCCAATTATAGCTACTATAGGAATTCAGAGGACTAGCTAACAAAGATAAATGGGACAAAAAATACCGAGAAGAAAAGGAGCTCCTGAGAATGATGAACTTAGATAGCTCAACTTGCACAAGTACCACATGCCCTTTAATATGACTTTCACAATCAAACTCAATAACATTTCGCTACCTATGCGTGGTCATCTTTAAGAAGTAATTTACGGCTAAATAAAGTGTGAAAAGCACTTGAAACTATAAAGAACATGCCAAATCAAACAGTAAAATGGTTCAACATGCATTAAAATAAAAGACCAAGGAAAATTTTTTTTTAAGGCATGAAATTACATTCACAAACTTGTAAGACACATAAAATGAGATCAATGCAGCCATCTAGCTAAAAATATGCATTGATATGGATACTAATGGTTCACAATGATTATCTGTTAAGGCAAGTAGCAAAATATGACATAATAAATGTAGTTAAAGTAGCATTCTACCTTTTAGTCAAGGGATAGAAACTTAGCATAAAGAATAGTCCCAATAAAACTTATGATGTATAAAATGAAATATGGACATGCCCAATAAAGATACATGAGTGCTATATAAAAGAAGCACAACAAGAAATGGAATGCATAAACTCTACAGGAGATATTGAAAGAGGATGTAAATATACTAAGTCATGGCAATATGTGACAAATGTTAGGACTTCACAGTAGCCAAAATTATTCAGAAAGTAGCTGCATTGGCCAATTCATTGTAAATAGGAACATTGATCATAAAGTACCTGGTATCCTCAAGACGTCCATGCAAACTCCACCGCTGTCTAAAACCTTCGACACCTTCTATTCCACTCGCTAGAATCAAGCGCCTGCAGGATAAGAGTGTAGACTCATAACTTATTAGTTGCAACTCTACAGCACTTGACTAAAACCAACCCACTAAATCTTACGTGATAAGTAAACTACATTAGGTTCATCTTGACATAAAATGTAGAGATTCATACCTTAAGTTTGTAGATAATTTACAATAAATTTGCAATTGAAATGTAGTTGAGCATTTGAATTAACAAATAAGAAAGAATTCTATCAAAAAATATAATTGCTACGACCCAGAGAATCACAATGATAAATGTTGATTATAAGCTCACCAACAACTCAGAGAATGGAGGATTGAAGGGAGGGAAGAAGAAGACCAAGTAGAAAAGGTATTTTTACTTTATTCATTTGATGCCTCAAACGCTCCTAAAGAAGGGCATTTAAAGGTTTACAATACTCATTTTACTACTTATTAAGCATTGAAGACTACATAAAGGCTATTATGCTGTATATTACTTGTATTAAGCCATATAAACCATTACAGATGTCTAATATTACTGATCCCTTCAAAAAAAAATATTGCCCTCAAGATCGAACCACATAACAAGGCAGATAAATCCACGTGAAAAATGAAATAAAAAGACAGATAGGAGGTTTTGTAATGATCAACAGAGATTGGATGAAAGCCAAGGACCAGAGAACTAAGAATGACACGTCGCGTTACTAAGACCTAGACTGTTGTATTTGTGTGTTTTTTTCAATTTTGTAAACCACTTCCAGTGAAAATCTCAATGAGAGTATCATTTTTACGAACAAAATATAAAAAATGCATGGTAAATTGTAAAACTACGACATTGAAAAGACTTTCTAGAATGTCTACAGCTCTTGGTAGAGGTGGGAGAAGACTTTGGGCTATTCAAGGATGCCCACAACTCCTAGTAGAATTTGGCAAGTGGGTGGATGAGGGAGAGAGCCAAAGCTCCAAAGAGGCCTCCATTTTTCTTCTTGATGAAGCTCTAACTCTTAAAATGCCTATTTATAACCTACAAGAAAAAATTAGAATAGCATAATAACCCTAATTAACAAATTAAAACCACTAAATGCTCATTATATTATTTATTTCCTAACATTATCCATGCCTTCTCAATGAACTTGCCTTCAAGGTCAAGCAAATTGTGGCGAAAAATGAGGCGGCTATTGTTAGCGCCTAAAAAAGGGTTGCACAGAGGTAATTAGATATAGGTAGAGTTAAGGTGGACAAACTTTGCAAATGAAACTACGGGTGGCAGAGATGGGTGAATTTATGCCGAAGTAGGTTGAGGTGGGAAGATGGAGGTCGGGATGAGTGCTATATGGGTGGATCACAAATCTAGGCGGAAAACTGGGGAATGAGAGATCAGGGAGACCTAGCTACATTTAGAGGTGGCTAGTTTGGTTTAGATCTGGGATGGAACTGAGACGATCCGACAATACCTGCCATGCTAGGGATGGATATCATATAGATATGAAGATGCCAAGTTCGTGAAAATGAAGCATAAGTTGAGAGAATGAAGATCGCGAGCATATAAATAGAACTAAATATGGAACAAAACACAAATGGAACATGATCTGCAAGCGCCGGGTAGAAAAACAAAAGATAGAGATCATGAGCGAGATGTAGGAATTAGATCGACGTGGTGAGATCAACGATGGGATTTGGTGTGGATGATATGGTGTTGTATGTACATCTATAATCGTTAACAATAGAGATCAAGAAGTCCGGGTAGGTGATTGATGTGGACGAAATGATTGAGCAAATATCTGATGAGATTAGATGACGCAAGAGCTGAGGTGAAGGTGGATTTCATGTCTAAGAGGGAAAATGGGTGAATGAGAGTACAAAATTGATAAAGATGGCAGAAATGGAAGCACGGCACCGGTTGGAGACTCAATGAGAGCACCAATTGTTATAGTCTCAAGAGGTTCGCAACGAAAAATGGTATTTCGAACTCACCGACAACTCCAGGTTGGAGGATTCAGGATATAGGAGAGGAAGACTTAGCATAAAAGGAATTTTTTATTAATTCATTTAATACACATACTCCCACAAAGAAGGGTATGGAAAGGCTTACCATACTTACTTTACTACCTATTAAGTACTCAATAACATATAAAGGCTATTAAACACCTAATACATGTATTAAGCAATATGAACCAATATATATGTCTAACATACATTGAATTCTAACTCCATATTCCAATTACTAAATATTTTAGAGATTATCATAAAGTATCCCATTCCAACTCTTAAAGATTTAATGTTCCCTTTTCTTTCATTTGTACCTTATGCAGCCATCAAAATAGGAAAATCATACATCCAAAAGAGCACATAGTATAAAGTGGTTGTATTCTAGTTGAATATTTTCATTATTTTACCATTAGGTTCATTAATTATATAAAATTTCATGCCAAATTAATCTTATGGCTCATATGAACTGTTTTAAGGAAATTTGAGAGAAATAGTTCTCGGATTTTAAGATAATTCCCCGACTCATTGCATTCTAAAAAGAGGTACATGATTTGATTCACACATAAACAACTCATAAAGTCACAATAGCAATAGTTAAGGTCTTCTTAATAAGTCCTATATTCCTGACATGCGCATAAACTTCTTTAACATAGTTGCAATCAAGTGCTCGACACTGTACCTCTCTAAAGACGTCACCTCAGCTAGAAGTTGAACTTCCCTTTCCTTTGCTTGTTCCAAGGGCATGGCTAAGCCCAATTTATGCTCACTATCTTGGAGCCGTTGCCTTAGCAGCTTATCCTACCAACAAATTTACTAATGTCAAAACACGATATAAGAGTGACTTAAGAAGGATCAAGCAGCACGGCGACGAACTCTAAGAGAACTGGAAGAAAAAATAAAGCAAGGTTGACATATCTGACCCTACTCTCAGCACACTGACGATAAAAAACAATCTCATCCTGACAAAAAGGTTCAATGTCATTAATTTGCAAACCTGGATCATCATCCAAGCAAACCAATCAGAACAAAAAACAGAAAGATGAATAATATCAGATGAAGATGACTAAAAAAATAGACTTACACAAAAAAAGATTCCTCAAAATCCCATCACACAAATTAACACCTTCAAGGACATGCGATGCTATCTCTGGAGGGATGCGAGGTGATGGTGGCCCTAGCATAAGATCATCGCCGACCAATATTGTCTCCTCCATGGTGGGTTGTGAATCAACTAAAGCACCCAAAATAAATAAATTCAGAAAGAGAGCCTGGAAGGACATCAAAGCACCCAGAAACCAACTGCAAATAAATCACATATGAAAGTTTGAAACAGCACTGAAAAGTACTGCTTTCCTATAGGTGAATCACTTGTAACTTCTTAGTAAAAAAACTTTAACTCAAAAATTCTCAAGAATCAAAACAATGAAAAAAACTAACACAAAACTATATTTAGAGTTTAACAAGTCCCCCCTTCCTAACTTTTGCCCAAAATTTTCCAGTAAATTTAATGACCAATGCAAAAGGTTTATAATAAGAAACAAAAATCCATTTTGTATTTGTTTATGCACACTCCATATTAATAATACAACAAAGAGAAGGAGATGCCAACATACCATCCATGATTACCCCTTACACAGAACCAGAGATGCCCAACAAACACTGAATCAATCTCACTGCGATTGAAGACCTGCAAAGGAAAAATAGATGCAACTCTAATATGTAAACCCTTTAAAAATCACGAATTACCCAAGAATCATTCAGTTTTTTTTAATCCAAATAAAAAACTGCAGTTGTCAACCAATGAGATAAAAGAAAGCAAAAAAACCAAAAATCGGAAAGTTTTATGCATGAGGCTGACAGAAAAGGGAAAGACGCTGCATCTGAGTATGGTTGGATGAAATGATGGAGTATGACGAGAAGCTTGTAAAACAGCAGGAAATGAAGGGACAATCACAGGAAAGGAACAAAATGCTGGCTACGGCAAAAGGACTTTCAGCTGAACAAGTACCAAACAAGCTTTTTCATGTTCATGAACAAATTAAAAAAAAAATGGAATCTACTCGATGAATCAATGATTTATCTCATTCAAAAATTTACATCCACAATCAATATAATTTAGGGGCTGTTCGGCAACAGGATTTATGAAGGATTTAGGCCAAACAGGATTTAAGCAGCCGGTAATCTCACGGCGGAATAAATCCTCCGTTTCCCTCTCTTTTTGCTGTAAATACCGGATTTACTAAATCATGGAGTTCGGTGGATTTACGGGATTTGGCTGAAGAAGCGCGCGAAAGGGAGAAAGATAGTTACCTTCACAGACAGCGAGCTCCCGTCGCTACTTCCGATCGAACAGGAAGAAGGGCGAACTGGCAGGAACCGTCGTCGAAGGAGGCGAAGAAGGCTTTTAGTGACTCGTTCACAGCCCTACCTCGCGCGAAGCAGGCGAAGTCGAAAGCAACGAAATGGAGAAGAGGAAAGCAAAGCTTACGCCTTAGGTTATCGCAAGAGAAGAAGACTGTAATTAGTTAAAGAATTAATCTATGTAATTTAATTAATAGAAATTAAAATATAAATAATGGTGTGCGGCCAACGCGGGCATGCGGCGGGCACACGGCGAGCGTGAGGGCAGGGCGGGCGCGTGCTGGGCCACGGGCAGCGTGGGGCGTGCGGGGTCGCAGGCAGTGCAGGCAACCTCGGGCGGTTCATTCTAATCAGGTTTCCATGTTGACCCGCCAACCCGTTGGGTCAATCCAAACACGACCCATTTTTCAAACGGGTTGAATCCGGGAACCCGAACCAGACCTGTTTTTAAATCGGGTATGGTCCAACCCGGATTTCGGGTTGGATTTTCGTGTCGTGTCAAATATTGACACCCCTATTTTTAATAGCTTTAATTTTCAAAGAATTAACACAATTGTGTAGATTTGGCTAGGAATATTTTTCTTCTATGTGCACCAAAGAAAATTTTAGGTACACGGGAAATAGCTTGGTTCACAAATTTAGTATTCAGACGACTATCATTTTTTTTTTTTTTTTTCATTCAGACGACTATCATATTAATTTAACTTTAAAATATAACTTTATTACTAAACTTTTTTAAAAAAAAAACATGGAGTGAATTATTTATGATTATATATACAAAAATGTGATATTAAAAAAGTTATTATCCAATTAAAAAAGAAAAAAAATATGAGCATGTTTGGGACAATTTCAGTATTTTATAAAGTTAGTTATGAAGTTGCTGTGGTGAAAATAATTTAATTATAATTGCAATAAACAGTTTTCCTCCAATTTTTTTTAAAATCAATAAAAATTAACAAGAAAATAGTAACTAAATAAAATTATAATTATTATCTGAAAAATTAAAACAACTAATAATTTGTCCTAAAAAACCTCTAAGTAAATCACTCACATCACCTTTTAAAAACTCAAATTCCTCACAATAATTATACAATTATTTCACAAAATACAACCATCCTAAACAAAATTATGCACATAAATGTTAATGTAATAAAAAGTCATTGTAAAAACGATAAGAAGAAATTGCTACGATTTCCTTCCAATCTTTCGTAGATCAACAATTTAAGAACTTATTTCGTATGGAGTTCAGATGAGAAAAATAGTCCGGATATTTGAGTATACACATATTGTATACATTATATACATAAATGTGGCACACATTATTTATATTATGTACACAATATGTATACAGTCATAATCCGGACGTCCAGACTCCACACAGAATAATTCCCACAACAATTTTCACTCCCTTCAATCAACCTTCGTACTAATAGTTAGTACTTAGTAGTACTCCACCGGCGCCTCAGCGCTACTATCATCCGTCAACTCCCCGCTACTCCCTCCATCGACGGAAAATGCCGGCGGCACGTGCGGAGGCACCTCGCACCTTAACAGCGCCCAGCTAACTCCGCCGAAGAACGAATGCCTCTTCACCGCCGCAGCCCCTGTCGTCGACCCCAACCTCTTCGCCGGATCCTTAACCAGCAACCCGCTTATAAGCTCCCGCGCCGCGCTTGACACCGCCGGCTCCTTCGGAAACTCCAGCCCTCGAGCCACTATATTCGCCAAAGTTCTATCTTCATTCAATCCCTTGAACGGCGTCACTCCGTAAAGCAATTCGTAGATGAACACGCCGAGCGTCCACCAATCCACCGCGCTTCCGTGCCCTTCTCCGGCGACAATCTCAGGCGCCAGATACTCGTGCGTTCCGACGAACGACATGGAGCGGAGATCGACGGGCTCGGCGACGAACTCTAGCCCGTCGGTCGGGCCGCCGAGGCGAGCTGGTTTCTTGCGATTGCCGCGCTTGGAATGAAAGCATGAAACGCCGGGGACGATGCAGTTGGGGAAGTGGTTGCAGGAGTTGGTTCGGTGGGCTGAGGTGGTGGACGGGGAGGAAGATGGGCGGGGGCCGCGGACGAATTGGGCGGTGGGGGAGCAGCCGTATTCGCTCTTGAGGGAGAGGTCGAAGTCGGTGAGCATTATGTGGCCGTCTGAACGGACGAGGACATTTTCGGGTTTCAGGTCGCGGTAGATGATGCCCAGCACGTGAAGGTACTCTAGGGCAACCACTAGCTCTGCTGCGTAGAACCTGCCATGGTAATATTATTGCCGGTTAGCGCCGGTCAGAATTTGTAAAAAAAAAAAAAAGTTTATTATTTATATTTTTTTTATTTTATTTCTTTTAATTTAAAGATTATGAAATAATTTTATAAAAGATTAAAAAAAAAGAAGCTTTGAAAATCTCCATAAAATATATAAAAAAATTATGTTATATTAAATACAAAACATGTTTTATGAAGAAATTTGCCAAATTTTTCATATACAAAATCAAATATGAAGAGATTGAAATCTGATTCTCTTTAAATTCCAGGCATGTCACTTAAAAATAAAAAAATACTAAAATTCCAATATTATCTTGATGAATTACCACTATTTGGTCATTTTTTACTTCAAACTCTATTCAATATTTTGAAAGAAATTATATTTTGAAAGAAATTAAAACAAAAAAAAGCTTTTCTTTCTCTTTTTTTTTTTTGGGAAAACCTTTTTTCTAAAATTTAAAATAAAAAATAGAAAGGATTATTTTAAAAGCATTATTTTCATAACTTATCCACTTTTGCACATACTCTTTCTCCTACTTTGCTTAATTACATATGAGATGAGAAAAAAATAATTAATTGATCGAGTCCACGCCACTCATGTTTGGAAGCTAGCTCCTTGGAAATTATAAATTAAACGGGATAAATTTTGTGATAGATTATTTTGATACAAAATTTTTCATTATGAAATTCAAAGTTTTTATATTTAATAATTCAAGTTTCGTTTGGGACTACTTTCTTACTGCATCTTAAATAAAATTTTTATTACAAAATTAAAATTTTTGTACTTAAGAATTATTTAAAAGAATCATAAAAAAATCATTCCAAATAAAACTTCAAAAAATTATACATAACTTTAATTTCAATAAAATTTAAGTGTTTTGAAACCTAGCAAGATGCATATTTTACAAGGATAACCTGATTTTTTTTTTATTTTAGACTTGTGTAAAAAATATGTAAATAAATTAAGATTAATTTTTTTCAAAATAAAATAAAAATACTAATAAATTGACCCTTTCAGGAGAGCCATGGCCTTGTACGCTCATGCATGGAGGAAGATCTCGTCAACGCAAACCCACTCATCACATTTTGTTTTGCATGATGTAAGGATCTATATCAGTACGACGCAACATTGCCGATTGCTACATCTTACCTTCTAAAGCAATAATAAAAACAAGACAGAAGACGACCAAAATATTAAAATTTATTTCTTTTAAAGGCATATACTGTTCCTTCATCACACATTTTCTATTCATCCAATAAATTCTTTAAAATTGAATTTATATTATATATATATATATGTAAAGAAGACGTTCAAATTAAAATTTTATTATAAATTTTAATATGAGGATTTTCATATATATCATGTAATTCTTATGTATTTATATATTCAATGTCTAATTTTTTAAAACTTACTTATATAACATTTTAGTATTTCAATTAGGTCAAAACTTACAAGAATTTGATGTTTAATAGATTTAAGTTTCGTTTGGAAAATTTTTTTACTATTTCTTACAGCAGCTTTCTAGTACGAAAATTTTAATTTTTGTACTAAAAAATAGTTTTAAGCAGTAATAAAAAAAGTCATCCCAATTCCCAAAAGAAGTCTTAAATGAGGCCAAATGAAGAACTTTTATATGAAAATATATAATCCACTTTAAGAAGGTCTATATTAGTCATATTTTTTGAGATTTTATGAATTTTAGATTTTATGTAAATGAATATTAAAATTTAAGTAGTAGAATCATAAATACATAAAAATTATTATGTGGTATTTATATAAATCCCCCTTTTAATGTTTTTTTTTAAAGAAAATATAGTAAATTGCATTAAAACCTAAGGAATACAAAATAAGGACTCAGAACATTAAATTCCTCCTTTAACAAAGACATAAAAGAATGATGAACCTTATTCACTCACCCCTTTTAATATTTGAAGTAAATTTAAAAATTAAAGATTAAAAGATGTTAATTTATAAATAACTAAAATTTAAATGTTATACATAAAATAGCTTTTTTATATATTTACAAACATCACATTTAACAATTAGTAATCATATGATCATATCCATCATTAAAAATTTTAAAACTATTTTATATAATAACTAAACAACAAATTCAGTTGAATTAATTTTCTAAAATTTATGAATAAAAATTTTATAATTAAATATTTTGATTCTATTACGATTAAAGAGTAAAAATATTAAAAAAAAAAAATGTACAGATTGATCGGCAAATCAACTCTCCTCATAAACCTTCCTAACCAAATAGTTCTATGTTTGTCGATTCTTCGAATTTTTTTAATCTTTGGAAGACTAATCGTACGAGAACATCGAATTAAATTGGGGAAAATGATCAAACCTGACAGCGTGCTCGTCGAACCTCTTCCCCGGCTGGCGCTGCCGGAGAAGATGGAGATCGCCGCCGGGACAGAATTCAGTTAGAAGACAAGTCAGTTTATCGTTCTCAGCACATCCGTAGAGTTTCGGAAGGAACGGGTGATCAAGCATCTCCAGAATCTCTCTCTCCGTCTTAGCCCTCGCGCTCTTGTTCCTCCCTTCGAGCTCGCCCTTATCCATAACTTTGGCAGCCACGAGAACTCTGCCTCCTCCGCCGCCGCCACAAGTTTTGATCTCGGCGAGATATACGCTGCCGATGTCACCGCTTCCCAGCCGTTGGATCGCCCGGAGATCAGAGATCGCGATCGATCCATTGGATCCGATGAGACGCCGGATCGCATCGCAGGGGTCCGTGCCGGACACGAGCTGCGGCCTGGCAATGGAAGACGGGGCGGAAGACGAGCATCCAGAGGCAGTGGAGAAAGGGGAAACGTTATCGGAATCGAATTTCGAGCTGTGGAGATTGTTCGCGAGCACTATCGGCATAGCGCCGCCGTCGCTGCCGCCGTCGCCGGACGGGAGATTGTTGCGATTGGGGGACAATGGGGGTAGAGGGAGATGGACTTTTGAAGAGAGAGTGGGGAATTGTGGTAGAGACAATTGGCGGCAAGAGGGAATCGTGCGGTGGGACCGCACGGCGCATAATTTCCTTGTTCTCTTATGCGAGAATGAATTTTGACCGGCCGGGTGATGGAAGTTGACCGCCGAAAGCCGGCGTTAGATATAATTTAGCTGCTCTGAGTTGGGATTGGGATTAATTATTCAAAGAGGATGTCGAACATCATTTGTAGATCAATTAAAATGTGTTATGTCATCCTAAGTTATATTTCGCGGTTTGGTATTGTTCGGTATCGCTCGGTACTACTGATGTGAAGCATTCTGGTTGGTCTCCGGACGACGTTTTGCATTCAGTCTCCGCACAGAATAATTTATCATTAATGGACGGCCGATTTCTCAACGAGTTTGGACTTGTTTCGATAGTTATGTTGTGTGTGGAAAGTTATGAGGGGTGTGCATTACATGCATGCTTAACCTAGGTCTTTGTCACATTTGTTTGGTTGTTGTCTTTTGCTTTGGACTTTTGTTTTTAGATTATGATAAAAGAAAAACTAATAACAAGATAAAGAATGACTTTCATGGCTATGGGAATTGGTATTGGCTAAGAGAGATACTCAGTCTCATAAGAACACTACTCGTCATTCTTAGGAGGGCACTATGAGTGTAAGTGAGTCGAGCCGGCTCGCGAGCTACACCCCTAGAGGACACTCACCTCAATCAAAGGGTCAATTGTCTAGTTGATAGGAAATATTTTCGAGCCTCAACGATGGCGATGCACTTATTTGAATTAAAATTCATCCAAAGTGATCACCAATGATAATATTTGACAAAGGCATCCAAGGTCCCATGCTACTTTAGAGATGATTGTCCTTGTGTACCGTCTGAGTCTCATCTATATGTCTCTAATAACCAGGCATATATTATTTTATTATTTCATAGGTGTAGTTTTTTCTTATAGCACTTTGATCCTTATAAATATGGGATTGAGAGATATTTTATGGATGGATATCACTGTTGCTCGAATACAGTCCTTAGATCTTTATTTCCTTAGTACAATCTCCTGACCACCATCCACAACTATGATCCTCCGTCTATTATCGCCTGAATACAATCCTTATCATACAATCTTCTAACCATTGTCTTAACGCCTATTTGCTAACAATTATCATCGTTAATATTTATGAAAGAGTATTTTCTTCTGACACATTTATGTTTTAACAAATAATGAATAACCTTTACATAATTTAAGCTTACGAGAAATAACTGAAGCTAATGATATACTTTCATTTAAAAATATAAAATTTCAATCATTTTTATAATTCTTATGAATCTTGATGAGCTTTACTACATAATTTATTCATTTTTTTACAACAAGAACTCAATTTTTGTTCTTGTGAAATTGTTTCCTCATCTCTAGGAAACAGCATCATTTTACAGTTCATCAAATAATACTCAGCCATAGTTATTTGGGCTTCTATTTGAGCTTATCTGCATCTTTGTCTTTTCTCTTCCCTGTACTAACAGAGAGCATTCAAAGCTACAAATGGAGGCTTTTAAAAATTCTATCTTTGATTAAGATAATTTGCTTCGTTTTTAACTTATTTAATTGGCAGCAAATAGATGGCAAACAAATGTTTATACGATCATTGTTGCAATCTTTTTTGAACTTTGAAAATTTCTTTTATTTATATATATTGTTAGTTTTCTTTTTCACAAACTTCTTTATTTTACAGTCCTTGCCTAAGCTCTTTATAAGAATTGTTCATATTATTTAAATAAAAATAAAATTTAATATGCATGGCTGGCCTGCATATTGTTAGGCAAATTTTGTTGAATAAAGTAATTAATAAATTTTATGTTAAAAAATAATAAAATTAGTTAAATTCATCAGTTAATTAGATTTTTTTTTAAAATAATAATATTAATTTTAAGCTTCATCAAAATTTATAAGTTAATTAGATTTTTTTTTTTTAAATAATAATATTAATTTTAAGCTTCATAAAATTTATAAGGAAATCACAAAAAATAATTATTTTATTTTTCTCAGTCAAAATAAGCAAAAATAAATAAATAAATAAAACTTCATTTTCTTAGATGTGATTTCAAAATGCAAGGAATCAAATAAGGACAAGAAAAATCAACAATTATTTAAGTTTGGTTGCAAAATAATTGAAAAATAAAAGGACTATAAGTAAAAGTGAGATAGAAATAGGAAGAAATATAAAGGCTTAAAAAAATGTATTTATAGGAGTTTTTATGATCAAATATGCCTAATAACTTCAAAATAATCTCATAAATATATATAGATTTCAGGAATATTTTTAAATATAATACAATTCTAAATGATGAGTTATGATGAAATTATCAAAGGGTCATTATCCAAAATAAAAAATAACTCTTAACATTCTTATGATTCTTTTGCAAACTTCATATATGCATGATTTGCATATAATATATTCATAAAAATAAATTTCTGCTATGAATTCTAATTATATTCTAACTCTGCAAATTCTATTTAATCCTTTTAATTCGAAGATAATGATTTAAAGCCTATGAAAATCAATTTACAATTGAGATTTATCTTCTAATGATTGAAAGGTTAAAATCATAAATTTGTAGAATCACGTCATTTTTCCAATAGCCAAATATGAGAGAGAGAGAGAGTGAGAGAGTGAGAGAGAGAGAAAGAGAGAGAGAGAGAGAGTAAATTATTACGTCCGATCGCCTGACATGCGGACAACCAATTCAAAGACGCCACCTCATCCGGATGCACTGAGCCCCGGTATTTTTGAGTGACTTGGCGTGTTTTTATTAGTGTCCGGACAAATCCGGACACCGGACACAATAACTTGCCGAGAGAGAGAGAGAGAGAGAGAGAGAGAGAGAGAGAGAGAGAGAGAGAGAGATAGTATTTCTCAAATATCATTTCTACTCTTTAGGCAATTGCCAAACAGACATTATTCTTTAGATAAATGCTCTGTTCAGCTGGGAAAGTAAATCATGCTGCAAACACAAAGAAGAAAGAGAAAACAACAACATAAATAAATAAAGAACATGAAGATTTGACGTGAAAAACCGAGAAAAAAATTTATGAAATCACACCACCTACGAAATTTATTATGAAAATTTAAGAAAAATTATACAGTTTTCTCCTCTCTCACCCTTCCCATGCTTCTCTTCTTTCTTACATTGTTCTCTATGAACAAACAAAGAGAAAATGTAACTACAACTACTAAGAGACGCCAACCTTAATGAAAAACGATTTAGCAAATTATCGTCCTACCTCGCAACCCCACTGCGCCAAATTTGGAGCGTCATAATGCTCCACTCTTTATCTTCAATTTGCCTAACAGTGCCGTAGCACTAAGATATTTGAAGTACCATAGCACTCAATTCTTTGTCTCTCCAAGCAAACTATATAGAGCCGTAGTGCTTAGGTGCACAACGCCATAGCACTTTTTCAAGTACAAAACACCCGACCCAAGCATGGGAATGACCGACCCACTACAATCCCCGATGAGCTCGACCGATGAAATTAAAGTCTACACAATTGATCAACACAACAAGATTCCTCACAAAACTAACACCCCTCAACATTTCTCCGCTCAGAATAACTACAAGCTGGCTAACAACACAAAGAGGAGAGACATTGAAAGCATTTTTACAGAATTAATGACTACGTCATACTGACGTTAAATTTTATGAAAATCTAACATAAATAACACTCCATTATATATATAGACAATTAGATCGACCCACAACTAATTCAGATGATAAAATTAAGCTCCGGCGCTTAACAAGCCACTGATTGTAGGTTTCATCAAGCTCCGGCGCTTAACAAGCCACTAATTGTAGGTTTTATCTTCAGATTGTATACTGAACCTATACATTAGGGGAAATTATTCTGTGCGAGGTCCGAACGTAGATGATCTTCCGGATTACGTATTTGTGAATAAACAGTAAATAAGCAGCAAACCAACAATACTCACTAAATACTCAGCAAAAATGCAAAAAATATTCATTAAATACTCAACAAATACTCACAACTAATAATTGGCTTAGTATTTACGCAATACGCGGTAAGTATGCAGTGCGTACGTAATAAGTACGCAGCAATCCCAAAGTTCCGCTACGTTCGGATTGCACAGAATAATTTCCCATACATTAGTGATCTTTGTCAGAATTGTTGTGTGAACCCACTAAAGCCTACATAATTTCAATTGTAAACGTTAACAACTACCAATTGAATGAAATAAGGACATCACATGTTTAAGAAGCTTAAATGCCATCAACACGCACGACAGACAATAATCCACCAAACAAAGATCCGGTTTCAAAATTCAAGAGGCAGGGCCACGTCTTTTTTAAATTTAAAAAAAAAAAAGAGAGTTAAAATCATATCAAACGCTTTTATTACAAACAGCAGGGAGGTCGCCTAATGGGGACTCACCTAATCACTCCAACTTCGTTGCGAAAGAAAGGCCTTCATTCTTGAGCTGGTCTACGTCTGCCACAGGTGGCTGGAGCTTCGCGACCTTAGCAATTGCCTTGTTCTCCTCCGGCGTTCCCCCTTCTAGGAAAGCACCAAAAACCTTCCCATCTTTGATCCAGTATGAGCCAAATTTTGGCTTAGCAGATGATGGATCGCTATCACCAAAAAGAATCGTGTCTCCAACGTTGTCACCGTAGAATTGCCACGATAGATCAAATGCACGAGAGTAGAAGTATGGGAGGTAATCATATTCTTCAATATTTGTGCCTTCTTCAGCTGCCTTTATTGCCTGTAACATGAGAAAATGAGAAGCTAGAATTAAATTTCTATACTGAGGTTTCGTTCGGGACGACTTTCTTACTGTTTTTTAAAGCAGCTTTTTAGTAGAAAAAAATTAATTTTTAGATAAAAAGCTGTTTTAAGAAGTAGTAAAAAAACTGTCCCAAACCAAGCCTGAATCTGCATGGCACATTTACTAGAGGAAAGTTTTCAATTATACCTTTACAGCATGCTCTGCAGATTTTCTTGAATGATCAACATGCTCTACTCTCCTCAACTCGTTGTATAATTTCAGAGGAAAAGTGGCAACATCACCCACAGCATAAACATTAGGGACACTTGTCTTGAAGAAGCCATCCGTCTGGTAAAAAAGGTAAATAGGATAGATTTAGTGATGTGGTAAATTTTCATAGATGCTTCATCATCATGGTGTAAATTATAGATCACAAATTTTTTTTTTTGTAACGTTCAAAGAGAAGCTGAAAAGCAGAAAATTATACAGCAATCACATGAGAGCAACACATATTAAGTGTTGCAGAGATGAGGATGCTCAGGTGGATGAGTGGCTTTACTCTTAGAGACAGGATACGAAATGAGCATATATGTGAAAATGTTGGAGTAGCTCCAGTTGAAGATAAGATTAGAGAGAGTCGTCTTAGATGGTTTGGTCACATAAAATGACGGCCTTCGATGACTCGGTTAGAAAAATAGATGTATTAGATTTGACTTATGATAATAAAGGTAGAGGTAGATCGACAAAAGACTTGGTTAGAAAATATTTGAAATGACATTTCTTTATTAGATTTAGGTAAGAATTTGACTCTTAATAGGATACAATAGAGAAAAAAGATTCATGTAGCTGACCCTAAATAGTGGGATAAAAGCTTGTTGTTGTTGTAATCACATAAGAGTAGCTTCTTGTTGCATGAATCTGACTCCCAAAAATCATTATACAAAGCTTTACAAATTGAATTATTTTAAACAATTTTTCATCCCTACACATAAATAACGAATAATAAGCAAATGATTGTGTACTTTACGGCTGGAGTTATGAACAATCATAATATGTGATTGGGAAATATGGGTTTAAGAAAGAATAATCAATTTATGGTTTCACGGAGAGTAAAATAAACAGTTGAAACAATCAAGGTGACGCTAGTCAAAAGGATTTAGTCTAACCTTAATTCCGCCTTTCTCTTCATCAACTTGACCTTTGAAAAGTGTTGTGAGAGGTCTTCCACCAACACCAACAACAACAATATCAGCATCTAGCACTCTTCCATCCTTCAGTTTTACCGCAGTAACCTGATAATGGTCTAGGCATTAGCCATATGATGATAAATAATATAATCTGTGCAATGCAGCAATGTTCGAAAGCTTACATCCCCATTAGCATCAGAGTTAAATCCAACCGCCACAGTCCCCTTGATTATTTTAATTCCCTTGTTTGCATAATAACCCTCGTAAAAAGCAGCAATTCCAGCAGTGAAGAGCCTAGGCACTGTGAAAGCAGAAGGCATTAGCATATTTTAATTTCTTGCTCAAGGACTTGTACTTTCACAAACATTTGGGCAAGTGCGGGCTTATTTCATACGGGAGGTTAAAATAATGAAGATTAGTTAGTGAAGTCAAATGTAAACAACTATAGCATGCTTATACTGTCAGTCCCCATTTTAGGTTGATCTGATAGGATGATTAGCTTAGCCAAAATCAAGAAATAAAAATAAAAATATAGAAAAAAGAAGATGAACTTACTGCACCAGGGCTCAGGGTACACCATCGTGACTTCTAGATCATTTAGTTTAAGAGCCGCACCAAGTTCAAGACCAATGTATCCACCTCCAACAATTACAGCTTTCCCATTCTTCTTGCTCTGTATTACTTCCACAAGCTTATCAGCATCATCAATCTCCCTCAAGTATAATATGTTGTTGGCATTTGCCCCTTCAACGCCAAAGTCAGTCAGCCTTATGACCTGCATAACCAAGGAGCCTCACAAAACATGAAAAAAACTCACTTGAAATAACCATAACTCGTGTCAACAAGATAACGTGCACATATATATGTATAAAATGTGAGTGAAAATTCAATCTTGCAAGATTGTTTGTGATGTAGCAACTATGCAGAAGCTGTAGAATAGAACAAGATATCTGAAAACAAAATTTTTAATCTATAAAAGGAACTTCCAAGAGTGATGAAGCATCAAATGAAAAATGTAGTATATAACAAGGTTGCACTAAAAGTAGTTGCATAAAATACAAGGAAACTTCTGAAGTAATGTAGGCATCAAAGTGATGAATACACTACATAAGAAGAGGCATTTGTATAAACAATAAAAGAAAGATTATGATCAAGATTGCATAAGAAGCATTTGTATAAACAATATAAGGAAATTTCTGATATACCGATGAGCCAGTAGCAATGACCAAATTGTCAAAAGTATAAGTTGCACCAGCTGCACTAGTAAGAGTCTTCTCCGAAAGTTCCGCTTTCACAATTTCAGTGCTTAGTATCAGATCTATACCTGCAGTTAAAAAGAAGCAAATTCAGGAAATTAACATGGATCATGTCTGACTGCATATAATACATTCAAATCAGCAATGCCATATCTCCCCTGCCTAAAAAAAAGTGAATAATCTTGTGAAAGTGTAACATCAAGGTAACATTTTTCCTAGGCTTCCTTTGTTTTGAACGAGTAGAAAGAAGGGAAATAGAAAAGAAAGGGAATTGGTAATGATAAATGAATTAAATTGAGATTGGTTTTCATCAGCTTATTTGGTTGAAAGAAATTGAGAAATTTTTTCATAAAAAAATAAAATTTTTTCCTTAAAAATAACATGTGAATCATGCGAATCACAAAAATGATTTAATAAAATTTTCCAACCTACTTGGTTACTTTTGCCAAGGTTGGGTAGGGAATTGTGGATGAAAAAAAAGAGCATTTGTTCATATTTCCAGCATAGGTTTAATTATTAATTAATTACAATGGAACCAAATAACTAATATGAAATTGTGAAAAATGTATTTGCATTACATTCAATTACTTCAAGCCAAACACACCCAGAAGGATCTAAAAGTAGGTTAAGGAAGGACAGATCTACCTTTTTCAGAATACCATTCTGGAAGTAGTCTCTCTCCACCACTCCCGACACAAACATGAAAGCCAGGCAATCTTGCAGCTCCTGAAAACCAGAAGACATATCGTGTATCAGAAAGGTAATGTTCTTTATTCAAAACAAATTTTAACAGAAATCATAATTTATAAAGGAATAGCAGCCCCAATACATCTAGTTCCTGTAAGATGAAATTTTCAAATTGTGTTATGCTTCAGTAGCATAATATACAAAAAGCCACACACACGGTCCATTTAGGACATCGTTTTCACTGTTTGACTCTTCAAAATGCCGTCGCACTCTTCAAATTTTCTATAGTGAAATTTTTTTTTTACAACAATATCAGTTAAAGTATAGTCGCTATAAGAAAATTGATGTCCAGCTTTTTAAAAAATAACTCTATGACTACTTTACAAATAATTGTAAACATTCCGAATAAACTCTCCACCTAAGCAAATTTTTTGATGTGGGGAGAAAATCGTTGGATCGTTGGAAGACTTGGACTAGCAAGAAGGTAATCCCAATCTAGAGAACAAAGACAAACACAAAGCTTCAAAAGAGGATAATATTCATCAATTGTCTTTCCTATTACAATACTTTGCCTATTTATAGGCTAATAAGAACATTCTACAAACTATAAGTAGCAAACTTATAACAAACTATGATAAACTATTCCTAAGGAGTATTCTACAAAAGATGTTCCTACATCATACTCCCCTAGCATAAAAAAAGCTCGACTCCGTCAAGGCGTGTCATCGGGAGGGGGATAGGTGTAGTAGTCATGAGTAACCCTACTGAATCAAAAAATTTGCGACTTCGATGCATGTCCGCAAGCTCATTCATCAATTGATGAGTTCCTTTGAATTTCTACAAATTTGCAAGCCTCCATTGGTAGAAATAACAACATATTTGGCCCTTGGTGAATTCTTTATCCCAACTAGAATTGAATGGCAAGCTCCTGATTCCATCAAACAATTTGTTCCAACTCACAATATCCCTATTATGCATTTCATCGAACAATTTATGTGCATCCTGAATCTCCCCTGTTCATAAAAATGCCCCAACAATAGAGTTCCACGAAACCACATCCGACTTAGAGCACAGTTTCCTCTTCTCCATTTCCTTCAAAAGCTCATAACTTCTTTCGAAGTTCCAAATTGCACACAATCCATCAATGAAAACTGAATAGACAAACTAATCTACAACAACATTTAATTCATTCATTTTCCTGAAAACAAAGAATGCTTCCACCATCTTGCATCTCTTGCAGAAACCTCTTATAATGCACATATATGTAACCAAATTTGGTTTCAACCCGATCTTCTCCATATATTGTCGTAATCCTACCCTTCCTTACACAAGCCATCAATGACAGAAGTATAGCTGATCACATCCGACAATATTTCATTTTCAAATATCGACCCATGCTTCCTAAAAACTTCCATCAACAGGCCTTTTCGGAAATATCCACAATTACAACTAGCATACAAAACAATGTCTAAAACTATACCATCATTCTCCATCTTCTGTACAACGCCAGAAGCTTCAACAATTTTTCCTTCTCTATATAATGCATCCACATCAGTTGTATAAGTCATCAAACTAGGCTTAAAATGATGTGAAACAATCCATGCGAAAGTGATTTGCTTAAAGAAGTTTGCACGTTTAGATTTAGAGGCAATAATAAGCAAGATCTTATGTGGAATTGAACGATAAGTTAAATATTAAAGTGGTACCTAGCTTAGGTTATCTCACATGCATAGAAGTTAAGTTCAAAAGATAGCCAGCTTAATCCAACATTGCATACATGGATCATTCCAACAATTGATTCCAATACTAACAATAAGATTAGTCTATGAAAGATCCCTCACACAACTCTTCTAATTACTAGGCTTTAGTGGAGAAGCATTAATATGATCTTCATGAAGATAATAAATTCACATTCAAGGATGTAACTATGAAGATAGAGAGTCGGGTGCCGAAGTTACCCAAAGACAAGAGGGATACGCACTCTGGCAAGGTTGTTTGAAAGTTGGGAACGAAGTGGACAGCAACCAGGAACCTCCTCACACTAAGGAACAACCGGGAAGAGGGGCAAGTACACGTTCCGGATCTTCTAAATCATGGGTTGCAGGTGAAGCAGCAACAAGGAAGATGTCAATTCTCTGAACTTCTGGACAGCAATCCCGGTAGGAAGATTTCAGGCTCACCAAAATCCAGAAAAAGGAATTTCAGACTTTGGAACCAAAATCTGAGAAGACTTCCCTTTTTTCCAAATTCTTCTACAAAGCTGAAGTAATTCTTTAGAGGAATCTGAAATGTTTCAGATTTTCTTCTCTAAAAAATCTGAGAGGAATTCCAACTCTCATTTTAGGGAGGAAAAACTTAGCAGCAAGACTTATGGAAAACAAGCCATATGAAGTAGAGGAGGAGAGGAAATCTGAGAGGGAATAATCTTGATTTCCAATCTCAGATTTTGAAATCTGGAATAAAAGCTGAAATTACGTTTGAGAGGGGAGGTATTTGGGAGGTAATTAAGAGGTGGTGAGGTGGCAATTAGAGAGAGAAGCAATGGGGGTGAGGTGGCCGGCCATAAGGAGAAAGAAAGGCTTGATATTAACTCACATGGGGCCCACAATTTAATCACAGATTTTATTCAAAAATCTGGAATGGAAATTCCAGGTTTCAATTAAGAGGAAAGTGTCCTAATGTATAGCCCTCAATTAAATTGATTAGAATTTCAAATTGGATGGGAATAGCATTAGGAAGATTGCTAAAAATCAGGGATTTAACTTAGGAAAGTTAATTATGTCTCATGGGGAGGCTTGAAATTTCAAATTTCAAACCCCATGAAGGGAGGCCGGCGGCAATGAGGAGGAGGGAGAGGGGTTAGGGGGGAGATTCAATGCTTTCCAAATAAGTGAGATCAAGTAAGAGGGAAACTAATAGTTCCACTCCCAATGAAATTTGAATTGGATTCAAATTTAAAATCTTTCCTTATTTGGAAAGCAATCTTCAAATATGGAAAGTTTTTGCATTTCAAAATTTGAAATTCAAAAATCAGCAACTCCTTTATTTATTGCTAGGCCACAATCAAGGAGCCATTATGATGATTGACATCTTCATCATAGCTTGGGGCAAGGTGGTGGCCGGCGGCCAAAGGAGGAGGAGGGGGCTTGCCGTCGGGTTTGGGAGTTTCTTGATGGAGATTGGGTTGTAGTGGAGGAAGCTAGTGGATAAAGCGGTGGATGATTGAATCTCGAGTAGGGCTTGGCGTGGAGAGGAGGAAAACAAGAGCTGGAGAAGAAAACAATAAGATAAAATAAACCACGAGTCGAGGACGCTTCCAACGATTGACGGGTATTGCTTTTGCCCTCACCTTGGGCTTTCCATATAACACACACAGAGATCTAGGATAGTTGAACTCACCAAGAGATCAAGAAAATATGAACTCATAAAGAGAACACAAAGAGAAGGATTTAATTTTTAATAATTATCATCCCTTTTACAATAGCTTAAGGCCCTATATATAGGCCACAACATAAGAAAAATAAAAAATTACAAAATTGCCTCTTAGGCCACAACACTCAAATAAACTAACATAGGGGTAAAACAGGAAATAACATAAAATAAGAGCTAAAATTCATAAAACAACTCATAAATGACAATTTAAATTAGAGCCGTCGATTTACGACGCCTCCTGTGATAGATGCGCCAAATCTTCGGGCCGATGTCCGCATCATAAAATTTTGGTTCTTCTATACTAAACCAAAGTTGGGACTTTCCGATTCTAGAAAAACGAAAAATTATTGAGCTGTAGACAAAATTATCAAATGGGTATCTGATTTCCTCATAAGTCATTGTTTTCAGCACCTTGATTGCTCTTTCTATCCTACCCCGTGCACTGAATGATAGAACCAACAAGAGGAAAGTGATGAGAGAGGGCGAAATACCTTGTTTCGCATGCATTCATGAAACAGAGACAATGCCCTCTTTTGGTCGCCTCCGGAGATGCAAACTTTGCGAATCAAGGAATCACATGCCTTCACTGATGTAGCCAGTGGCGGATCCAGCCCTTTTTTAGGGTGGGCAAACTCAGTATATATAAAAATATAAGTACAAAAAATATAGATATATTTCACTAGCAAAATTCAAAGCAAAGCATTATATTTCATCATAATTTTTGAAATAAAAAGAAAATTATAGACTTTGCATTCTACTTTGCATTTTCTGATAATGTTGCATAATAACTTCATTTGGAACAGAGTCAAATATTTCTTTTTCAATATATGACACTAAACAGTCATTAAGCCATGCATCAATCATTTTGCTACAAAGTCGATGCTTAATGATCTTCATTATAGAAAATGCTCTCTCCACTGTAGCAGTAGCAACTGGTAATGTCAGCGCCAAAATAATAAGTTTATAAACCAAGGGATATACAACATTTTTTTATCCTTTACCATCTGTTTTGCTAGAGCAGCAATGCTAATTAAAGACGTAAACTCCTCGCTAGTACGCATATCAACAATATAAGTAGATAGCTGATGCTTAAGAGACACAAGATCAATCAAGAGAAGTCTGCTGGATATAATTCTGCAAGACGAATTAATTTTCCCTTCTCATATGCAGAAAACATATTACTCAGATTTAGACATGTCACACAAAGAAGTAACTAGGTGCTACTTTCTGAGAATCAGTTATTCAATTCCAGAAGTTGCATATCAATAACTGCGTAGAATAAATCTACTTGATAATGATGAAAGTTTGTAATTTCTTCACATATTCGCACAGACCATCCATGTGCCTTGAATTTAGAATCCATATAGGGAACATCAATTTCAAAAACATTACAAAAAACTTGACACTTCTTCAAGTAAAGACACTCATTCATTTTTCCTCATCATTTGCAATCGTTGCTTGGACACTTGTACCAATTTCATTGCATTTATAATATCTTGATCCTTTCTTTGTAATGCTTGTGACAATTCATTTGTAATCCCTAAAATGTCAATCATCAAATGCAAAATCAAGACAAAGTCAAAAATTTTCATGGCATTTATTAAAAC